TCAAGAATGTCTAAGGCATACTTCCGCTGTGAAATAACAATACCTGAGCTAGACTGAACGACCTCAATACCTAGAAAATGCTTCAATCTTCCCAGATCCTTAGTCTGGAAGTACTGAAAGAGATGTTGCTTCAGATTAGTAATACCATCCTGATCATTGCCAGTAATAACAATATCATCAACATAAACCACTAGATAAATACACAGATTAGGAGCAGAATGCCGATAAAACACAGAGTGATCAGCCTCACTACGAGTCATGCCGAACTCCTGAATAATTGTGCTGAACTTACCAAACCAAGCTCGAGGGGACTGTTTCAAACCATATAGTGACTTGCGCAATCTGCACACACAACCATTAAACTCCCCCTGAGCAACAAAACCAGGTGGTTGCTCCATATAAACTTCTTCCTCAAGATCACCGTGGAGAAAAGCATTCTTAATGTCTAACTGATAAAGAGGCCAATGACGTACAGCAGCCATGGACAAAAAGAGACGAACAGATGCTACTTTAGCCACGGGAGAGAAAGTATCACTATAATCAAGCCCAAAAATCTGAGTATATCCTTTTGCAACAAGACGAGCCTTAAGCCGATCAACCTGGCCATCCGGGCCGACTTTGACTGCATAAACCCAACGACAACCAACAGTAGACTTACCTGCAGGAAGAGGAACAAGCTCCCAAGTGTCACTCGCATGTAAAGCAGACATCTCGTCAATCATAGCATGTCGCCATCCTGGATGAGATAGTGCCTCACCTGTAGACTTAGGGATAGAAACAGTGGACAAAGAAGATATAAAAGCATAATGTGGTGACGACAGACGATGATAACTTAAACCGACATAGTGGGGATTAGGATTAAGTGTGGATCGTACACCTTTGCGGAGTGCAATTGGTTGACTAAGAGGAGACAAGTCCGCAGTAGGTGCAGAATCTGATGCGGGGCGTGAATCACCTGGGCCTGATGCTGGATGTGGACGACGATGATAAGTCAAGAGTGGTGGAGCTGCAGAAGGTTGAACTGGATTATGTGGAGGAACTGGAGCTATAGGTGGTGGAGCTACAACTGGAGCTGTAGGTGGTGGAACTGGAGCTATAGGTGGTAGAGCTACAACTGGAGCTGTAGGTGGTGGAGCTGGAGTGACTGAATCTCCAAAAGATGAAACTGGTAGTACCTCAGAAATATCTAAGTGATGACCTGAACCTGTGAAGTATGATTGGGTTTCAAAGAAGGTAACATCAGCGGACATAAGGTACCGCTGGAGGTCAGGAGAGTAGCATCGATACCCCTTTTGTGTTCTCGAGAAACCCAGAAATACGCACTTAAGAGCACGAGGAGCTAACTTATCTGTTCCTGGAGTAAGGTTATGGACAAAACAAGTGCTTCCAAAGATACGGGGTGGAAGAGAGAACAAAGGTAAGTGGGGAAACATGACAGAGAATGGAACTTGGTTCTGGATAGCTGAAGATGGCATACGATTAATAAGATAGCAAGATGTAAGAACTGCATCCCCCCAAAAACGCAACGGAGCATGAGATTGTATGAGTAGGGTACGAGCAGTTTCAATAAGATGTCTATTCTTTCTTTCAGCTACCCCATTTTGTTGAGATGTGTACGGACAAGACGTTTGATGAATAATCCCATGAAATTTCATAAATTGCTGAAATGGGGAAGACAAATACTCTCGGGCATTATCACTACGAAATGTGTGAATAGAAACCCCAAATTGATTTTGAATTTCAGCGTAGAAGGTCTGGAAAATAGTAAACAGCGCAGATCGATTTTTTATCAAAAATATCCAAGTGCACCTGGAATAATCATCAATGAAACTGACAAAGTAGCGGAATCCCAAGGTAAAACTGACCCGACTAGGACCCCAAACATCTGAATGGATTAAATTAAAAGGTGACTCTGCTCGATTATCAAGACGTCGAGGGAAATGGGAGCGGGTATGCTTACCGAGCTGACATGAATCACACTCTAGAGCTGACAAGTGAGATAAACCAGATACCATTTTCTGAAGTTTTGACAAACTGGGATGTCCCAACCGTTTGTGTAATAAATCTGGTGAATCAGTAACAGGATAAGTTGTAGAAGGAAGACAAGATGTAAGTCCATGTGATTTAGCAAGGATAAGGTAAAAAAGTCTGTTTGATTCACGCCTGGTACCAATGATCTGCCCCGTATTGCGTTCCTGTATAAAAACATGGTCATCAAGAAATAAAACAACGCATTTAAGTGATTTGGCTAAGCGACTAACAGCTATGAGATTAAAAGGACTATTGGGAACATAAAGGACTGAATCTAAAGGTAAGGAAGGAAGTGGGCTTGCTTGACCTATTGCAGTTGCCATGGTTTGAGACCCATTGGCCATTGTGACTTTTGGAAGAGATTGAGAATACGAAATAGTAGTGAAAAGAGATTTGTTACCAGAAATATGATCTGATGCACCTGAATCAATGACCCAAGACTCAGAGGATGAAGATTGGGAGAAACAAGTCACGCTATTACCTGTTTGAACAACAGAAGCTATCTCAGAAGATGTCTGCTTACATGCTTTATACTGAAGGAACTCAATATACTCTGCTAAAGAAACCATCCGACTATTCAAAGCATTGGTTCCCATGTTGCTACAATTTGTAGTAGTAGGGTTAACTTTAAATAGTGAAAATAAGTAACTCCTGTGAGAAAACTGAAGAAATAGCTTGAAAAACACTATTTACATCAGGAAAACAGAATACTGTTTTGTGCCGGAAACACTGTAGCTCGCCGGAAAATTTCAAAGTTGCCGGAATTTGTCGTAACCAGGATGGATAGACACGGAATTCCTTTGCGAGCAAGCTGTCTAGAAGAAATGTTTTCAAAAAATGGCCGGAAAGGTCACTGTTCACGCCGGAAAAATATAAAAGTAGTCGGAATTTGATTTGAATTAGACGGGTAGGCTCGGAATTTTGAGGAGAGCACACTGTCCTGAAGAAGCTTCGCGAAAAAATGGCCGGAAAGTGGCCAGAACCCTCGCCGGAAAAGTTGTTGCCGGCGCGTGGCGGCTTTTCTGCCGGATAAAATTTCAGGGGTTGGTCGTCGGAGGGTGATCTACCTCGTGGTGGTGTTGGTTTTAGCACAACACCGACAGAAAGTGACTTTCACTTAGACAAGCCTTAGGTCACCGGAAAAATTGCACGATGACTAAGTTCTTTCTTCCCGGTTAACGCTGGAATGACGCACAGCTATCTTTTCTCACTAATGCTCTGATACCATGTGAGAAGGCACGGGAGAAAATATGTTATTGATATTGGATGATAAATACAATACAAGAGATCCCTATTTATAGCTATACACTACAAGGAGATATTACTCCTCTTCCAATGTGGGACAAGACTACACTATACATATCTGTAAACTAACAATTGGTAACACAACTTCCTAGAGATTCATATCCACCTGTTTCAAAAACGTATATGCAACTGTGAATTCAAGTGCAATTACTCTAGAAGTTAATCCCAAGCAGCAGTATATGTGCAAAAGCACATCTTTTATCAATTAAAAATTGTACTTCTATCTGGAATCTAGGCAGAAGCTTACGAGCAAATACAAAATTTCAAGACCAGAATCACATAGTACCTCATGATCTTTTGTCCTCCCTTCTCGTTTAAAAAATCCCCCACTGGAAAATGCAAAATTAGTAAGAACAAGTACATGGTATAGACTAAAAAGGAAAAGGCAAAGGAGTGGTGCTAAGCGGAAGTGAATGAATAGAAGCAAGTTTTACTAGACCCACCTCGTCCGACCAGCTGCTGAAAAACGTTCTTGATAATGAACAGAAAGAGGGAAAAAATCAGAAGGCTCGCTTGGGACATCAGCTAAACAAACAGTTGTATAGATAATCTACAAAACAAAAACAAAAAAACATCTCAATATAAGCATACTGATCCAGGATATTGCCAAGGATAGATCTTACAAGCAACATTTCCACCATCTAAGTTAAATACTAAAAGGACAACCTTTTTTTTTTTGATAGGTAATACTGAAAGGACAACTTGATGCTGATTGAAACAAAATTACCACCCATTAAATAAGCTGTTAAGGGATGAAACATGATCACGTCAATGTTTGAATGGATCCTCAACAGGTGGAGAACTATAAAAACTTCCATTCTTCAAGTGAAGCATATAAGAAGTTAAGAAACTCTATGGCCCATCAACATAGTTCATGGTGCAATTGCATAAAAGCAGAGAAAGAACGGGTGAACAATGTGCAGAGAAAACCGAGAGTTTAATCAATCAACTACACCTCATTTGGATGCAAGTTGGGTTCCTCTGTAGCTATTATGCTTTATACGGCTGTCTCATTCCACCACTACTTTGCTACTCCCTCCATTCCAATTTATGTGGCCCTCTTTCCTTTTTAGTTAGTCCCAAAAAGAATGTCACCTTTCCTTATTTAGAAATAATTTATCTTTAGTATTTATACTTTACCCTTAATGAATTGATTTACAGCCACACAAATATCTATGGTTTCTTTTAGACAACAAGTTTCAAAAGTCTTCTTTTCTTTCTTATACTCCGTGCCGAGTCAACCATTGCCTCATAAAGTGGGACGGAGGGAGTAATAGACAATTTGACTTAAGATTAGGGGTTCTCTAAATATCACACTTATCCCTACACCGACAAGTCTCTAATCATAGTAAAAAGACTTGGCAAATGCCGGACCTAATCTTAGTGTAAAAACAACAAGTAAGCTTAATTCCATTGTTATCACATCTATGGATCTTTAACTTACGTTGTTTTCTATTGTTACCTGAACTCATAATAATTTTGAGAATTGTAAGTCTTTTGAGACAATTATCTTCCATAGGATTTTTACATATACCTCATCCCAATTAGCATATTTGATCATCATAATGTCACAACTAGAAGAGTGCACGTGGAGATCTACGTAATACACGGCCAAACTATATAAAGAAACCCTCTCTCATTTATCCTTTAAGTGTGTTACTTGCACCCTTTTGTCAAATATAATCCTTCTAATCTTGTCCAATCTTACATAAAGGTACACCCATCCATCTTGTGGATACAAGAACTCAAAGGCCCACTTTTGCTCCTATATAACTTTTGTTTCTCTCACTACCATTTTATAAAAATTATCTTTCACCTTGTTAGTTATCTTTCTATCACATAGTACACATGTCGCACTCCTCCTCTTCAACCATTATGTTCTAGTTCTCTCAGTTACATTTTCATCTACTTTATCATGACTGCGTCTAGATATCTTAGTTGTCCGCATATAGGCACCACAATCTCGTCTAATTTCAATTTACCTACATTCTTCTCAATAGATCCAGTTGTTGGTTGACTCCATTATTCGTTTCAACAATTAGCACAATATCATCTGTAATAGTATCAATTTGTAGAGCCCCATATGTGTAATACCTAGGGAGGGTAAACAAGTATGGGTTAAAGATAAATCCATGGTGTACAGCCACGATTATGAAAAACTCCTATATATTTCCTTCCTACTGTTCTCACACTTATGACCGCTCCATTAGCAAAACTTTAGCCCTAAAATTGCTATGAATAAATAGTCATCCAAACACAAAATTATATTTTATAAGTCTTAAATAAGTATTTCAGAATACCTATCAAAACAGCACCTAAATAGCTCACCATTTTCATGGAAAATCAGTCAAATGAACACCAGAAAGAGGTCTATAGCCTTCCACCAAATAGACAAGAAAATAGTGTTATCCCATATAATGGTATTTTGAAATAAACTGAAATTGTACCACTGCAGTCTAACCAAATATACTAGCGCAACAACCCAAATCCCATACGTATTACCACAAAGACCCAATTATTTGATAGTTAAAGCTTCTCGGAATCATGGTGCATGCACTATAGAATTGGTAAAACCAAACGTCCTTCATGTAGGTCCTGTTTAGTGTTTACTTTCTCGTCTAAAGTTTTGACACCATGCTTACTAGTTCCTCCGACAAGAGTGGGTTGCTCTAGTGGTAAGCACCCTCCACTTCCAACCAAGAGGTTTTGAGTTCGAGTCACTCCAAGAGTAAGGTGGGGAGTTCTTGGAAGGAGGGAGCCGAGGGTCTATCGGAAACAGCCTCTCTACCCCAAGGTAGGGGTAAGGTCTGCGTACACACTACCCTCCCCAGACCCACTAGTGGGATTATACTGGGTTGTTGTTGTTGTTGTTGTTGTTGCTGCTTACTAGTTCCTCCATTAGACATGAACACAATAACAGGAAGCTTTGTATATAATACTTTTTTAGCAAAGATTTCATATAATATTTATAACAAGTAAGAAAAAAAATTATATAAGATTTATTACAAAAATAATGTTCTTTTCTTTATTAGACATACTAAAAGGAAAAGATTTTGTCTTAATCAGCACAAATTGTCATTACTATTAAAGTCCCATCTATGCTCAGAGGCAGACCAAGAATTTGAAGATGGCGTCTATAACCGGACTTGTTATTAGACACTGGTGCAAATGGAAGTGTGCATTCGGTTGGTTTGATCGCTTTTCATTAATTAGACTAGTGTATTTAGTTCTTGGTTCAATAATAAAAAACTTGATGACATAAGCGTGAATCCACCAACACCATCAAGGATATTGTATTCCTAAATCTGTTCCAAATAATTAAAAGAAAACTAGTGTTCTTTCTGGCAAGAAGAATATTAAATTAGATAAGTATCATATTTAGTTCATGACAAGTTCAATGGAGCACGTACTCAATTCTCAGCTAGAAGCATATGAAACTACGGATCATAGACCAGTCGCCGAAGTGGAGAAAAAGTTAGAAGCTTGATATTTAACAGACATGATATTTCACCGTAACCTTTAGTACGTATATAATTGAAACGAATTAAGAATAACTTTTACCATCACCAAGAGTTGAAGGGCCAAATGTTACTTAGAAAGAGTTCCTACATTTTCAAAACCTTGATACGTATGCTCATAAGTTATTGAATCTTGAAATAGTCAAAGCAACAAGGGTCTTCCAAAATATTGAAAGCAAGACCACAGCTATTTTTATCTTCAAATAAATGTTTTAAAAGTATGACGACATATTTTCCTTTTCTTTCTAAAAGAAAAACCCATTTTTTGTTTTAAAAGTTATCATCAAAAAGCAAACTGATAAGTAGTTTTGATTTCACCGTTGATGATTTTAGAAAGACAAAAAATGGGTTTTTCTTTTAGAAAGAAAAGGAAAATATGTCGTCATCTGAGAAGGGACTTATGTAATTAATTAAGTTGTATATTCAAATTGAGTTTTAACCTTAGACAAGAAAGTAAACAAAGAATTGGATTTTCAAATCAAGGGCAGATTCACCTCTTCCGATACTTTTAAATCAATAATTTGGGATCAAAGGCTCTTGGTAATGGATTTAGAGATCATGAGGAAGAGGAAAAAGAGGGCGGTATATGGTCAACCTACGATCAAGTGGGGAACTTTCATTACGGACAAAGCTCAAGAGCTGGGGGAGAAGTTGTTGGCTATGGGGACTTTGAGGAGTAGTGGGGACACGAGCGGTATGTGGACCACGACAGCGAATTACATTAGGAAAGCTGCTAGAAGGATATTAGGGGTCTCGAAGGGTTTACCCTAGTGGTCACAAAGGGGACTGATAGTGGAATGGAAAGGTCCAAGGAAAAGTGGAAGCTAAAAAAGTGGCGTATCTGAAGCCAGTGGAGAGCATAGACGAGGAGGAGAAAAGGACTAATAGGGAGTGGTATAAGAAGTCTAAGAAGGAGGCGAAGTTAGCGGTAACGGTAGCTAAGCCTGCAGCACTCAGACGTCTGTATGAAGAACTTGGGGACAAGAGGTTGTTCAGGCTAGCCAAGGTAAGAGAAAGGAAGGCATGTGATATGGACCAAGTGAAGTGCATCAAAGACGAGAATGACAGAGTTTTGATGGAAGAGGCACATATTAGACGTAGATGGCAAACATACTTCCATAAACTTTTGAACGAAGAGGGGACAGGAACATTATATTTGGCGATTTGGAACACTCCGAGAGACGTTGTGATTTTGGGTATTGTAGGCGTATTAAAGTTGCGGATGTCGAGGGAATTATTCGTAAGATAAACAAGGGTAGAGCAACCAAGCCAGATGAAATTCCGGTGGAATTTTGGAAGAACGCAGGGAATGGAGGTGGGGTATGATGATCCCATTGTACAAGAACAAGGGGGATATCCAAAATTGCAATAACTATAGGGGGCATCAAACTGTTAAGCCATATTATGAAAGTTTGGGAGGGTGGTGGAAGTGAACGTGAGGAGGAGTGTGTCTATTTCCGAGTTCTGATTCATGCCGTGGCGTTCTAACTACGGAAGCCATTCACCCTGTTAGGAGAATGGTGGAGCAGTATAGGGAGAGAAAGAGGAACTTGCATATGGTGTCCGTTGACCTAGAAAAAAGCATACGGCAAAGTCCCAATGGAGGTCCTGTGGAAATGTTTGGAGGCTAGAGGTGTGCTTGTGGCTTACATTAGAGCGATTAAGGACATGTATGATGGAGCTAAGACCAGGGTGAGGACAGTGGGAGGGTCGTGATGGGGTTGCATCAGGGATCAGCCCTTAGTCCATTTTTACTTGCCTTGGCAATGGATGCATTGTCGCGTCACATTCAAGTAGAGGTGTCATGGTGCATGTTATTTGCGGATGATGTTGTACTGATTGACGAGACGCGAGGCGGTGTTAACACAAGGTTAGAGGCTTGGAGACAGACCGTGGAGTCTAAAGGTTTCAAGTTGAGCAAGACCAAAACAGAATACTTGGAGTGCAAGTTCAGTGACGTGACTCGTGAAGCGGATGTGGACGTGAGGCTTGATATACAGGTTATCCCCAAGAGAGGAAGTTTCAAGTCTCTTGGGCCGGTAATCCAAGGAAATGGAAAGATCGACGAAGATGTTGCACATCGTATTGGAGTGAGATGGATGAAATGGAGGCTCGCATCCAGTGTTTTATGTGATAAGAATGTGCCACCAAACTTAAGAATAAGTTCTACAGAGAGATGGTTAGACCAACTATGTTGTATGGGGCAGAGTGTTGGCCAGTCAAGAATTCTCATGTATAGAAGATGAAGGTGGCAGAAATAAGGATGTTGAGATGGATGTGCGGGCATACCAGGATAGATAAGATTAGGAATGAAGATACTCGGGACAAGGTAGGTGTGACCTCAGTGAAGGACAAGATGTAGGAAGCGAGGCTTAGATGGTTCAGGCATGTGAAGAGGAGAGACATTGATGCCCCAGTAAGGAGATGTAAGAGATTGGCCTTGGTGGGTGTGAGAAAAGGTAGAGGTCGGCCAAAGAAGTATTAAGGAAAGGTGATTAGGCAGGATATGGCGCTGCTTCATCTTACCAAGGGCATGACCCTTGATAGGAGGGTGTCGAGGTCGAGAATTAGGGTAGGAGGTTAATCGGTAGCCATGAGTTTTCCTTGTCCATGCCAGTAGTATTAGTGTTAGTCTTGTATTTTCTTATTTTTAGATTTCTATTACTACTTGTGTCTTTCGCTTCGGCTTTCTTGCTATTTTGCTATTATTACTCCCTGTTGCTACTGCTTCTTTTTTCATCTCACCTTGAGCCGAGGGTCTATCGAAAAGAGTCACTCTGCCTGCTCAGGGTAGGAGTAAGGTCTGCGTACACATTACCTTACCCAAACCCCACTTGTGGGATTACACTGGTTTGTTGTTCTTGTTGTTGGGATCAAAGTTAACCTATGTCTCTTAGTTGGATTTGCACTAAACAAGATAAGTCTATCACATTACCAACTCGAGTATGGCTCTTGTTTTGATGAATCTGACTTGACTACATATCTCTTGCTACTGGCTTCTTCTAAGGGTCCTAATCTAAACTGCAAAATCAAATTGACTAGAGCAACGATCCGAGGCATGGTTTACCCTGCAGCATATATCTGTTAATCAAGTCCGCTAATCTTCAAGTCGTAAACTTAGCTGATTCAGAGGTTTATGATAGCAGTCAATTTTCGCGATTCCACAATAATACGTCCTCAAGGTCATAGACTAAAGCAAAACCTTTAGTTTTTCCTTCCAAACATGACTCTCAGTTAAGTTGAGCGTTGGTCTGGTTCTAAGCCCGTTTACCCTCCAAAAACACCACACACTTGAACCAAAATAATCCTCTTTCATTTAGAATATGACCAAGACAAAATAAGGTTGAAAACGGTAAATATTGAAAGAAATATAAGTTATTATTGGCTGGGAAGAACAAGAAGAGAAGAATTGAAAGGAAGGTAAAAATGGAAAGTGAAAGAGGAGAATCAAAATAAATACATGACAGCAAGCTCTGTTAGTTGGAAGGAAAAACTAACCACTGACTCTAGCCTATACCCTTGAGAAGATTTGCATATAGGGTCACCACTGCGCTTTAGTCTAAAACCTTTAGAAGGTTTGCGTAAATTTTCAATGGCCAAGGGATATTTGTGCCATTAGCACAAAATAGTGCCATAAAATGAAACTCGCCCTATATTGTAATGTTCAAAATCCATAGAATTCGATTGAATATTCTTTTCCTAATATGTTTCTAATACTTGGAAGAAATGTAGCTTAAACAGTTCTAGGTTACGTACAAACAATTGCATGTATAATGTATTAAGAAAAGCCTGGCGCCTTTCCATCTCTGCTTCTTTTTTACTTATTTTCAATATCTTGTGTCTTCATCCAAAATTCATCTAACAATACATGTCAGGAAAATGGATAGTGAAGATTCATATAACCGAGCCAACTAGCTTGTGATTGAGGCATAGTTGTTTTTGTTGTTTATAATGAAGTAAGATGTGTTTACAAAGTGCCTTTCATTAAGTTTCATGGTATTGCAGTGACAGAGAATTTTGAGGTGTTCTGCTCATTTGGGTAAATTTAAGAGAGAGAAATACAAGAATCTTCTCCAATTACATTTTGAGAGGTGGATCTGCAAAAAAGTTGTCTACTTACCAAAAACACAAATGTGTTCACAAAAAAATTACACCATCAATTGGATAGGAAGCTGGATGCAACAATCCTCCATCAGACACAAGGTTGTGAATAGAAGAAAACAACTTACAGTTTCTCCATCTGTAACTGTAACTGCCCCACTAGCCTGCCTCCCTATAAGACCTGTCTCAACCGTTATCTGTAAATATGCAATAAACTGATTCAGAAGATAGATAGCTCAGGAAGCTTATTGTATTAGTTTCAAGTTGGATGGATCAAGAAAATAGATAACTCAATAGATTAATTTGGAAAATGGATGAATTAAGATTTAAGAACATAGACAGCATAATAGCTCAAGTTAACTATAGAAATTATTGTATATGTTTCCCCATTCCAGCATTTCGTTAACTTAGATTGTGGAAACTAAAATGGAAAAATGATATCTGTCACTTGTCATTTTCCTTCACAACTATCCGAAATCTTACTCCTGCCACTTGCTTCAACCAACACTTGGACATTGTTTTGAGTATTTAATATTCAAAAGATATCACCAAAATAGTATCATGAAACCATATCCTCCATCTTATACAATTATCACATGTCACTTATTTTTATACTCAACCAAACACTAGAAAATCATCAAAAATTAATTTCTCTAGGTGAAGCACTTTTCACGAAAAATAATTTTCCTGCATGCCAAACACGTCATGCAATAGTATATTTATCCTACTCTAGTAAGATTAAACCCCTCCTTACAATATTTAGTAATGCTAGGTTCAATAGAGACTATCCATTTATTTTAACACTTGGTCAATTGCCCACCAAGTCAACCTACAAATGGAACAGAAGAAACATTACTTATTATTGTCATATTTAGCTACAGGAGAACCAAACTAGGAAGTAAAATTTAACTATCTTCCTCCAGAGCCAAACGAATTTGGACGGAGGAATATTACATAGACTTCGTTAAAAAAAACAAGTAAAATAATGCACATGGAAAACAATAGTGACGCATTTAGAGAAGACGAGCATTACATGTCTATCCCCAACGGGTATTCGAACAGAGAATGGGGAGGCTTGAACTCCAGCACTACCCACAGCCAAAACCGACAAGTCCTGAGGCTCCGCTGAAGCTCTTACGGAGAATTGAGTTTTAAAAATTCGGCTAATGCTTCTTCTTCTTATTCTCTTCCTCTTGTCTCCCAATGAGGAAGCAAGGAACTGATAGCTTCTGCTGTGAAGCTGTAGAGGGCAAGCGTAGGGCCTGCACAGTTCGTTACGAACTGTTGGTACATATTGCAGAGGTCGTCCATGGAAGCTAGGGTTGGCAAGCATTTCTACTTCAGCACAAACTTTGAGTGCTAGAGAGACAGAGATGAGAGAAACTTTATCCGTTTTCTGTTTTTGTTAGAAAAGCGGCGGGTAAGGGTTTTATTTTTGGGAATTTTGCACAAATTACAGCACACAACATATTACAATTTACACCTACAGTCACATTTTTCGTTTACAAACCACATAGCCAACATTATTTTTATTTTATTTTTTGAAGTTGTATGTATACAGTATTATATAGTACTTATATACATATATAACCAATCTTCTACCTTGTATAAATGTATATATAGTAATATACAATGTATGTAAACCTAATATAAAAGTGTATAACAATGTATAAAAGTATATAAACGTCGCTAGCCATACTTACGAACGCTTTTTACGATTTTCAGTTACAATACTTGTTCAAAACCAGTCCAAATCTCCACCAAATAGTTTTAAATTTAGTAGACAACCTCCTTTAACTATTTCAACAAATTAAACAACACCGACTCTAAAGTTCTCATAAAAATCAGATTTGAAATTTAAACTCACTTCTTTATGTTTGTTCAACAATGGTAGGTTACTTTCCTAATCTAATTTTCACCATATAAATCTTACAAAACATGTAACTTAATCACGATTTGAGCTTCAAATACAATAATAAATCGAATTTACGAACTATCAACCAACAGAAACCATAAACACCCAAAAAATTTATCTTTCCACATTCAAGCTTCTCCAAAATTCATCAATTGTGGGTTTCAAAATAGGGCAACTTTTATTACTAGACAAGATTTAAGAAATGATTATAAATTTATAGCAGCAAATCCATAATTATATGGATAGCAGATTCTATAGCAAAAAACGGATCCACGCACATTAATATTAATTAATTACCCATTAATCATCACCATTTTCCATTCATTTTGCACATTTTTAGGGATACTATGCTACTAAACATAAGCAAATGCTATTCAAATTTGTTCAGTTCCCCTTTCACATGTGAATAGCTCCATTTTTTCTTTCAGTTTTTTTTTTCCTTCCAAAAATATGCCTCTTGCTTAGTGTTACAATTTTTTTTTTATAATAATCTTATACTATCACAAGCAAAAGCGATATTCTGATGGTTATACACTANTATATAGCATATCTAATTAGAATATTTAATTATATAAATAATACAACAATGATATAATCTATATATGTTTGCGCATATTTATTTTAGCTAGAGCATGTTATGGTATATTTATGGAATATATAAAAATACAAAGCATATTATTCATAATATATTTATAAAATAATGAATGAGCCATTATGGTCAAGTTGAAAAACGTATATGGAAGAGGAGAAGTAAGAGAGTGAATGAAGTCGTCTGTATGAAGGGGAAGAGAAAACGAGATTAGGTTTTGAGGGGGATAAAGGAGAATAAGTTAATGATCCATCCCTTAATTAGTGATTCTTTAATTAATGAATCTTTTAAAATACGTAGGCAATAAAAGGTATGAGATTTTAAAATATACCACAATTGTAAATGATTTTGCTATTTTTGGAATAAAGTAAAATTAATACCATTTATATTAATAACTCTTTAAAAAAGATTTATCATGTAAAAACCTCTTCAAAATAACTGTAACTTTTTGAAATGCTCAAGATGTTTTAAAGTATTTTTGTGATTCTTTTGATCGTTTAAAGGGAAGCTCAAGTTGGTGTAGACGTGACCTCACATTATCCAACAATAATGGCAAGTAAAATTAAAGTGTACCATGGAACTGAAAGCGATAGACAAATAGAGGGATAAATAGTAGAGCATGCCTACCACACTTTCACACTGTTTAAGGGGCACGGGATCGCGACCCTTTGTCCCGGCCATTGTAGCACGTGTGTTGCCCAAGGCCCCGTCTCAGTGTAGGAAGCATACCCACTACCGATATTTGATGGACTGGCAGGTCAGCCATGTAATTTATCCCTCAAGCTAAACAAAATTACCTGCTCCTTTAGTTTAGGGCAAGGCGGTAACAGAACTACGGCAACTCCGGAACGCACTCGATCAATTACCATGCCGTGTCATAAGACAACACCTTGAACTGTACTATTAGAGCTGTGCTATAAAGATTGATTTAAAGTAACCCAATCAGATGTCGGTTGAATTATACCTACCCGGTAAAACCCGCCGGAATTAGAAGAAATTTTGAGGTTTTTATTTACTTGAAAGGGTAATCTAGAAATAAAAGAATCATTTTTATTTTCATAATTAATCGATTTATATGCTAAAAGATCATATCTATAACATTTTTTAAAATTATCTTTTTGGTTTGCTAATGATGTCCGTGGAATTGGGTGCACATCAATTCCACTTTGAAGCTATACTATCAACTAAATTTCCAGTAGACCAGAAATCAAAATGAGGTAATATAATTTTTTATCTGAATCAATAAGTATTGTTTTACCCACTCCAGCTCCCCCGAATAGTCCGATTTTTCCTCCATGACGATAATGGGCTAAAAGATCTACTACTTTAATTCTTGTTTCAAAAATAGATAATTTTGTATCCAACTGTATAAAGGCGGGCGCAGATCTATGAATAGGAGACGTTGTACTAGTATCTACATGCCCTAAATTATCAACAAGCTCTCAGAGCAGATAAGCAGGTAAAGAGTACATGTGTTGAGCTACCAAAAAAGTAATAACCCCTAAAGAAGCTAGAGCAAGGCATAATTGAAAATGAAGCGAATTATTGATTGTGTCTATGTCCACGCCCCAATCGTCCCCCCTCAGAGAGAGTAGAAGCACTTTCCTTCACGCTGAGTATGAACTTCTACTATGCTCGATTCCACAATCAATCCCAGATCCATCTATTTGAGGAAGGTCCAGGAAGACAACCCACCACTAGAACTTGCTTAGAGTGATAGCAAAAAAAAATACGATGATATTAAAGAGTAAGGGGGAAAAGAGCTAAAAAAAGATCCTTTTCCTAAAATTTATCTCACGACGTTCTAAACCCAACTCACATACCACTTGAATCAACGAACAACCAAACCCTTGGGACAGATCCGGATCCTAGTGCTTTCGAGATAGTTCGATCGATAGCATTGTCAGTCAACTAAGTAGGGCCTTCTTTGTTCGAAAAAATGCACAGTGCAAAGGGATGCTAGTTGGCTCGGCGAAGTTGCTCTATGTGTTAAGTATATAGCTTTTCCTTCTGAGCCAGGATCGCACTTCACACTAACCGAATCTCGCATAGAATCCATAAATAAATAAAGCATCTCTATCCGCCCTTAAGTGGTATTACCAGCCATTCTGGATCATTCGATTGGCAGGTCCAATCGATTTATAGCCTCTCGAGCACAACCCATATTCATGCAAGCTTCAGGCTTGGAAAAACTTCCTTTTTGAATTCCAGAAGTTACAAAGCCTATGCAGAATAAGCTGTAGAAGAGCACAAAAAAAATTTCGATACAAGATAAGGTCGTTCATTTAAGGGGCAGCATCTATTGAGAGTGGATTTTAGGTGTTTAGATATTTCAAGCATAAGCAATAGTTGAACCAGCATAATGAAAAAGTAGCAAAAGGGTAGGCCCAGAGTCGGATTCGGCCAAATAAACAGAATGGCAAGCTTCATTACCATTCGAAAAATCCCAGAATTATCGTCCTCGCTTTGCTTACCACCTTCGTCTTACTTACTGCTTGCAGGCTCGAAAATCTCTCTTTCGCCTCTCCTCCCTGGCTCAGCTCCCTGTCCCCCTTTTCACAAAAAATGGAGAGATGAGTTTTGTTAATAGAGTATATCACAGCTAACAAAGCGAAGTCATTAATTCAACCATTCGAATGCCCCCATACCTGAATGAAGGAAAGTAATAGTGAGGGTGAGGTACTTTCCCCAGCATACTGAAAGAAAATCCAGAACGACACAAAGCACGTGCATCCGAATACTCTGAGGTTTGAATAGTCATCTCTTTGAAAGAGAGTAAAACGCCCAAAGATAACAAGCGAAAGACCCCCTAACATAATTAGAATGGAGACTGACCGCTGAGCCCACTTTGGCTTGGCGGGGCGGGCCCTTGTGGTTAAAATAAGTCTCCTTTCTTTATGTTATTTGGCCCCATTCCTTTTTCATAATCATAAAGGATGGAAATGCTTAGCTTACTAAACCAACAATTCACTTGTGCTGGTGGCGGAGAGGTCGGCGCTTGTGTTCTGGCTCTGGGGGGGTAGGTCTTCCCTTTCTCAATTATGACGTACTCGGTTAGGTTGCCATCTAGGTATCGGTCGGGGGTGACTTCCAAATTATGGTCTCATTCTTCCCTTCCCTTAATTCACGATCCTTGTAGCGGTTGAATGTCAAAGAGGGGTACCTCAACCACAAACCAAGTTTTACACCCAAATACCCTAACTCAATCACTTTCACTCTTCCTCAAAGGTTCATACATAAATAAAGTGTCAACTTAGTAACCAGTATGCAGACAGTAAATACAGGAGGCTATTTATAAGCTTTTCAGAGGCTCAAGCACATAGCAATTTAACAACTTGAATCAAACAAATACAGAGGATATTTCACTATTATTAGAGTACATGACATGATCATTTCAGAATCAATCACAATATAGACCTTAGGACCCCCTTATAAGAACACTGAGCACAAAGATGAATCACTGTAGATAGATTTATAGGGTTCCAATAACATCAAAGACCTTAAGGTTGATCTTAGCATGCATTAGAACACATGTATGATCATTACTAAGATACAGTTATAAACTAAGAGGACTAGTGGCATATTATCAGTAGGTAAGTGTTGTCTTTAACTAATTCATATTCGGAGGTGCCTGATTAAATGATCTAAGTATTAGTATGTAACAAAGAAAGACATATGCATTAGTTTCATTAATTCTACCGAGGGTTCAACATTTTAGGATTCTTAACTAGATTCATAGTACTTCCACAGTCATTTTATTAATCTTCAGAACAATCCAAGGCAAACATATACATGGCTGAGACCTTACTTCACTAAACACATGTACTAACAGCCTTGTTCAGGCTTCCCAAAGATAACAACAACCAGTAGATATATCAATATAAGTAGAAAGGTTAGTTTTAGTCTAGTTCAAACT